GGGTATACTGCAGGGATGCCTCAAATATGTTTAACTATTGAGGATACATTAGAAATGAAAACAGAAGCAAATAATAAAAATATTCTGAGTATTTCAAAAGGTCTGTAAAAAGTTAACATCGTGGTTTCATACTCAGAAATTTACTGTACTGAAATATTAAAATGAAAATAATTTTCTCCCAAGTTAAAAAAAATGTCCTACATATTACCATAGTGACTCTTTGATTACTTCTGTACAAAATGTTTTACATTCCTCATGACATACATGATATTAGAGAAACAGCTATTGTTCCCAGGTAAATACATGTTGTTGGATTATATGTGACAAAATAATGATTCATGTTGATAGTAATAGTCAATTCAAATACCTTGATTGCAACAGACTATCAGCATAGCATGTGAATTATGAAAAAGCTTTATTCCTTGGTCTGAGAGGAAAAGAGATCTGGAAGACTCAAATGTCACTGAGAATGATCTGATATGGGCTGAATGCTGGAAAACAAGATGCCAGAAGTACAGAGCTGCCCACTACACACTGCTCACATAATTCTTCAAGAATCATCCAAATGGTCAAACAAATGTAGACTGAATAGACGGCAGTAATGAAACTCATGAGGACCAGGGAGCTATATGTGTCTTTATTTTCATGAAAACTAATAGAGGAGGGGCTGTATCTTTGAATGTGCTGGACACCTTGCTTGTGTCTGTGAAGAACAATGGTCACAATACATGGTCACAGACCAACAGAATCAAATTCATCATTTAAAGGAAAAGTATAAAATAGTGCATACTGAAGTGCATGTATCTGGCATTGTCCCAGAGCAATACATATTATTACTTTCTAAACTGAAATTTTTGTCATTCAATGAACCATTCACTACAAATGGAAGAAATGAATTCATCAGGAGATGTAGGAACCAGGTGAATCGACAGCAGTAGACAATCAACTCTAGGGACTGAATCAGGTTCATCCACGTGACTTCCTGAGGAAGTAACATCTATATGTCATCCCTTATCAGATGGAGCAGAATATGAAGTTAAAAATGGTGAAACTTTACATAGGGTTTTTAAACTTTTCCCCAATTATGAATTAGGGAAATTCCAGATTCTTAACACACTATGCAATTAAGAAATGCTTGGCACACCAGAAAGACCTGATATAGCAGTTTAGAATATTCAGGTGCACACTCATATTCCTCCATTGTCACCAGGCTCTGAATGGTTATAGAATATTGAAAAGATGAATTAAGGATCATAAAAGAAATGAAGTCATATGACTGAAGTGAGGTAGAGAAGTAACCTGAGAGGAAGGGAAAGACTGAGGGACATATGGCAAGTAAATTCTGAAATAAATATAAATAAAGACAGCTGACTCAGGAAAGGAATTTTGAATTAAGGTTTGTTGTAAAACCTGTTCTGCAAGACAAACCTAAAATCTCTTTGTGGACTTGACTCCTTTTCATAATTCAGTGCAGAAATTCACACACAAGTGGAAGACTCAGAACTCTTGCTGATCACAGGAATGTGAAGAACAGAAGGGATGAGTGATATCAGTGCCATGGGCCTCACACAGAGATCAGAACATACTCACCTTGCAGAGTTTTTCATTTAAGTAATGTTTTGCTTTCCATGAAAAGTTTCCAGAAGTGCTAAGAGTAACATTAGTAGTATATTAAAAAAGCACCTCACTGAGTGAACCTTGTTACAAAGCAAGGTAATGTTTAACTTCAGCATTGACATGTTAAAATCCCTCGTTGGATTCTCTTTCTTCCCACCATCTCACTGCCACCAAATACTCATTAACCATATGTGTCTTTATGTAATCCTTTCTTCTTTACCACAAAGAACTGAAGGAGCTTTCTTGACCTATGCATACATGTTTCCTTTTTTAAAAAAATACCATAAAGTTTAAAAATATAATTACAGTCTCCCTTGGGACCATATATACTCCCTACATCTTAAGAAGAAATAAAGGAAAAGCCAAAGCCCAAACATAGCAGCTCCTCCCATTCAGGGTCAGTTGACTGCTTAGCATGTAAGTACTTATCTTCTTTCTCATGGCTTCATTACAAAAAACTTAGTATCAGTGGAGTAATTATGGTGTCTTTAGTCTTGGAATAATGAAGAAATTTAAGGAAGGACTGTAACAAGGAAGAGAAGAGAGATATCATTTTGACCCTGTGCAGGAATTTTCTAAAAGATGTCTATCCTGTATCTCTTTCTCTCTTCCCAACACCATCTACGCATATGTCCATGAACTTCTTGACACTTTGTGTATGTGTTCTTGTCCATAATACTTTATTATAAGTCACAAACAAAGACTTACATTACTGTTTTCAAAGACACACAGCCTTACAGTTTTGTTTGTGTGCTGAGAGGTTTTTGCTCCCTTTTAAACCAAATAAAAATTTTCTTCAACTGAATGGTGTGTACATGTTGGCCACAGAAGAAAGGCCTGGAAACCTACTTGTGATAGGAATATTGCTGGGATTAGGGACCAAACATCAGTTTATTCTGTTGTTTTGATCTTTATTGTGCAAACTCAATGAACATGAACCAGTTTCACAAGAGGATTTTTCATAGGCACATGGGGTTTTATTTACAACAATATATTTTCCTGAATATTTCCCTCATATTCTCCAGCTTCCTTTTTCTGTTTGCCCTCATTATTTCCCTTGACAGCTTCTTCCATGTGTTTATGAAAAGTATATGCCTCAATAATTTTAAGTACTTTAATAACATTTCTGAACAACAAACAAGGAAAGAACACCAGTAACTACATTTTCTTATTCTTTCTTTCTTTTATGTTATTTTATATTTCCTCTGGGATAGGGTCTCTCTACAAAGCAGTGGCTGTCCTAGAACTCACAACATAGAACAAGCTGATCTAGATAATACAAATCTGCCTGTTTTCCTCAAGAGTGCTGGGATTAAAGAATGCACTACCACACCAGGACTGTAATTGTTTTTCCTATGGCTAGTTTTGTTTACTTAATACAATTCTCTCTTTTTCTATGGCTGGCTTTAATCACTTAACATAATTACTTCTCTGCATCCACTTCCCTAAAAGCAACACGACTTTCTCCTACTTAGTGATAGAAAAGGAAGTCTTTTATACATTTATATCACATTTTTCTGGATTTTGTCTGTGTTTGTTTAAAGGCTAATAATGACTGAATAAAGCCAATTTGGAAATGCTTCTTCGTTAGGCAGGGAAAAATGCCTGATGCTGGAAACCTACCTGATTACCAAAGACAGGTGAGGTCATGGATTTTCCAGGAGAATCTGATACTGCTATGTTACTAAACCTGCATGATTCCTAGCCACATTGTAAATATATATCATTAAATGACAGGGAAGTATAGGTCTCAACCCTTGTCAAATAAATGTGACTTGCAACAGATGGAGACCATTACAGACAGCAAAAACAAATCAAATTGCTGAGAACAAGCATCCACTTGGTGGTCAGCCCCATCAGATATGTCTAAACCCAACAGCATTAAAGGCTCAGGGATCATAGTGGAAGTGAGATTGGAAAGATTGCAAGAGCCACAAGAACAGGGAGCTTGTTGTGAGAATGCATCCCCTGCAATTGTCAGAAATGTTATATGGATAAATTCTCACCAATGTGGCTTCCTAAACAAAACCTCAATAAGAATAATACTGATAGACATGCTAACATTGAAGAGCTAAATGTCCTGAGGCCTCAACTATAGACAGAGAACTACACTACAGAAAACCAAGGAATGATGAGATTTGGAGAAATAGTCTTGCAAAGTGATGAAACTCCCAATTGGTTTGCATTACCATATCCTCTGCAATGAAATTTTATAGATAAAAGTTACACTGTATGTACTAAGCAGGTTGTAATTACATATATGTGAGGGTGTGACTGTGTGTGGATAAAGTGAGTGTAGTTTAAGAAATACAGCCCATGCATTTAAATGAAAGTATGGTGTATGTATTGGAGGGCTTGGAGGGAGGAATAAGAAGGGGAAATGATGTGATTATATATAATTTAAATAGTAAAGAATATTTCTTAGAATTAAAAGATTTTGTTTCACAAGTACAATATTTTTTCATTTTCTCAGAATATTTAGTGACATTATGATAATGTTAATTTGTATTGTACTTACTAAGTGTTCTAATGATCTCCTATCTTATATGTGACATCATGTTTCCCCCTTTCCTTGCCCGTTTGGAGGAGTGGATGGGGAACAGGTTGGGTGGGAAGCTGGTGAGGTAGTGGGAGGAGAGAGGGGAAGGGGAACTATGATTGGTATATGTAATATGAATATTTGTATATGTAATATGAATAAAATATTTTTTAAAAAATTAAATTAAAACAATAAATAGAGGCCATGTATTTAAATGAGATTATGGTGTATGCATGAGAAGAATTGGAGGGAGGTATGAGAAGGGGAAATGATATGATTACATTTAAATAAGTAATAAAGAATACTTATTAAAATTAAAAATGTTTGTTTCACAAGGACTATATTTTTTCATTTTCTCCAAATATTTTAATGCCATTATGATAACATTAGTTTGTATTATATTTTACTATGTGATCTCCAATGCTAATTGTAACATGTTTTCACCTTTTCTACCATATCTCTAGATATTTTTCTCACATTGGCTGACTTTGTTACTCTGCCTAATACTATAAAATGGGGCTATTATATGCTTGAAAGTTAAAAAAATACATTGAGGAGAAATAAGCAAAATATCAATAGCTTGTAGTCTGTAGAGGCCTATGTTTGCAAGATGGTAAGACCACATTGCAAAAGATACCATACACTTGAGTCAAAGAACATGAAGAAATCAAAGTGTGAGTTCCATCTCTACTACATAATTTTTCCAGTGGTGGAGGTAATAATAAATATTACCCAGGTATGAACTCTGAGAGTTATAACAGCAAGCATGGTGCAATAGTTCATGAATATTATGGGTGTAATAACTACTTCTTTATAAAAATGAAGGCTCAATTCACAAGATGGAAACATTTTCTGGTATAATTATTAGGATCAATAATATGGGCTTCATATAGACCCTGGAGAAGAATATACTTCTTCATACTATTACTCAGCTAAAAGGACATAGTAATGAACTGCCCAATAAACACTTACTTTTTATACCGGGGATTAGTCTATCCCTCAACCCTCATCAGAGCAACTTCTTTTTTGCAGTCTATGGTGATTAACACAGAATCCCACAATCATTCAAGTTGCTGAAAATAAGAGACTCTGGAGGGCCCAGAAAAATTGGGACATCTATATCACAGCTCTTCCTCTCAAGACTTAGGGGTCATCATCGAAGAAGAGGTCGAAAGTGTGTAAGAACTAGAGGTGGTAGATGATTCCAAGAAAACAGGATTTGTTCAGAAAGAACAGGGCACTTGCACTTGTGAGTTCACTTGTTACAACCGAACACACAAATCCTGCTCAGGAAGGCATAACTCAAGCAGAGTAGAGGTCATCAGGAAGTCCCACTTCCAGCTGAAGAGTTGTTGCTCATTTCTGACTTCTGTTAGAGGAAGTGTCAGGTTCCAGGATCCAATCTTTGTGTGAGAGAGAGAGGCTACCCTTGCTTTCATGGATGCCCAGGCACTGAACATCAATATGCAGACTGTTTTCCTTCCTTCCTTCCTTCCTTCCTTCCTTCCTTCCTTCCTTCCTTCCTTCCTTCCTTCCTTCCTTCCTTCCTTCCTTCTTAGCGAGCACTTGATATTGGGAGGGAAGAGCTTTGTAGGATGAGGAAAAATTGGAAAGTAGATGATGAGTAGACTTGTCTCAAACACACATGCAGGAATAAAATGCATCAAGAAATATTTAAGTAGCAAATGTTATAACTCTTTTCTTTTGGTTTTTCGAGACAGGGTTTCTCTGTGTAGCTTTGTGCCTCTCCTGGAACTCACTTGGTAGCCCAGGCTGACCTCGCCTACCAAGTGCTGGGATTAAAGGTGTGTGCCACCACCGCCCAGCATAACTCTTTTAAAAAGCAAAGAAAACCAGATAGATTTGTTTGGTACAATTCAGAGAAACTGAGATCCAATGGGACATAGAGATTTCTCTAACTTTCTCACAAATTTTACATCAAAGTTTCGAGCACCTTCGACACTTCAGAGATTATGAAAATTCAATACCTCTTCAAAACAGCATGTCTCTTTGGAGACAGTCACAGGAAGATCTTAAGTATCTTTGTTAATTATCAACTGGAAAAAATTTCATAAACTATTTTGATCCCACAGCCAGTGCTGTCTTTGCAACTGCATGTAAAATGAAAATTGCAGTTCTGGAGGGAGGTGAGGTCACAGGGTCACAGTCCTCTACCTCAGGCTTGAGCTGACTGCCACACAACCCTGGTTATTAAAAGTCAGGATCTGCCCAATGAACCCCCAATCCTGCAGAGACAAGACGCCAGGTGAGTACTTTGTATTTCATTCTGAGTGGCAAATCCAGCAAAGAAGGGAAGCCTGTACAGTTGCTCATGTTTAATAATGGGAATATTTGTTAGAAGCAGATCTAAGGAACACATGGAAAAGTGACATGAATAGTTCCATAGTAAGAAAGAAAGAAATATTCATAACAGCGAGTCAGTCTCTGTTGGTTCTGACTATAAGTCCACTGCTAAGGGTGACTGCAGGTAACACCAGGGTAATACATGCCTGTGAAGGTGCTTAAGGATTATGGTAAAAACTCAATGTGATAATTCACTTTACATTACATGATATGTTGACTTATGTACGTGATATGCAGTACTATTGTTTCAGGTCAACTTACCATAGTTTCAAACTCATAGCAAAAACTTGAATGAAAAGATAAGAAGCACTCAATCCTGGACAATATAGTTGTAATTCTTTTTTTTTTCTGGAGTAAAAGGCATTCTTATATAACACAACTGTTATTAATTAGAAGCAATAACTGAGTCTGTGTTGAATGACCAGTGGTAAAATGAATGGCTTGGAGCCTCTCTTGTACTTGGGATTGAGTTATCTTCCCTGTTTCAGTTATACTCTAATGATAAGCATAAAGGGATGCCATGAATTCCCTTACAGTTTATCATTGTTGCGAACAGAACATAGGCTTTATGAGTTCCTCTATGATTTACCATTATAGCATTTACCCCTAAAATGAAAACAAATCATATTTCCAGTGGCATCATAAACATTAGGTCCATCTTGTGCTTTGGAAATCAAATTTGGGTAATAGAACAGTTTTCTGTCATGACAGACCACACTTAGAGAACATCCCATTTTAGAAGATTCTCCAAAGCCTTATTTGCACTTTGCATTTGCCTATGGGAAAAAAATCTTTATTTAAAAAATAAAAACTCTTTTTAAAATATTTCTTTTTTTAGTCTATTTTTGAATTGTGTACATGAATGTTTTGCCTCTATGTACATATGTGCACTATGAGACTGTGGTGCCTGCAGAGTCATGAAGTTGTCTGAACCTCCTTAAACTGCAGTTACAGGCAGTTTTGATCCACCATGTAGGTCCTGGAAACCAAGACAGCTCTTCTCCAACAGCAAGAAGTGTTGCTTATGACTGGTCCATCTGTATAGTCCTCCCAAACCAAAACTTTTTAAAATCAAAAGCATACAATAAATATCAACAAAGTGAAAAATGTTACTTGGGGAAGACAAAGTGCTTTTAAGACTGGAGTATATTGTAAATGTATCTCGTTGCTTCATAATCAGGAAACAAGGGTATATGTTTGCACCATTCTGGCTGTGTGCAAGACCTACTAGATCCACTGTGACTCACACACAGCTTTTGAACTGAAAGAGTCACTTACCCTTTGAGTTACTAAGGTCAGGTATTGACAGTGGAAATAACGCTCCTGTCCACAAGAGACAGTGATAAAGTAAAAAAGATATCAACCTGACAGGACAGCAGTGCTGCATAAATTGCTACTGCTGTTGGGCAATTATACACATAACTAATAAAAAAGCTACATCTGCCATTTCCTGTAACTTTAAGGATGCAAGAGGAGAGAATACCAAAAAAAGCAGTAGAAAACAACCAGGAAGTCCAATTTGTAATGCACAGAAAGAGATTTACATGTGAGTATGGAGATAGGTTATTTATCAGTACAGGATACTAGGGAATTAAGGAAAACTCTTATCTGAACTACACTGGGGAGTCTTCAGAACAAGAAAGGAAAGAATCTCTTATAGCCTGGCTAATGAGGTCACTGAAAATGAATCTGATGTGATGAGTGTGAGAGCTTTGGAAGCACAGAAATTGAAGAGTGCATCTCACCACCTCTCCTTGAGACAAAGGATGCACATAGGAGTCAATATAAGAAAAATAATTCCCTGAGTGTCTGGCTCTTATGAGTTACTAGGGACATGTTTTTATTTCTTGGTGATATTTCGGTGAATATGAGTGACTGGAAGATGATAAAAGATTGTCAGGCATGATTGGGGGAACTGGACACCTGAGAGGAAGCTTTGTTGTCCAGTTCACTTTGTGGAACAGGACTATGTTCACTGTTGAGTTAGAGAGAAATCAAAGCAGTGGGGGCCTCAGCTCTGGCTTTGGTCTTCAGGTCTGTATTGATCCACAGCATGAGACGTGATCTGGTAAGGAAGGCTGTAGGACTGGAGTAACACAGATCTTTACACATTCAATAAAAATAAATATATCTATAGAAGTTGTTTTTCCATTATACATTTAACTCTTATCAAAAATAGAATGAAGTGAATATTTAAACATGAGAATGATATTAACGGATGTGACCAGTATCACACACAGAACTTTCTTGTGCAGATTCCTGTGGCTAGGAAGAAGCACTTTCCCTGGACATTTACAAAGAGAGATAGCCATGATTTGAGTTCTCTACTTCACTCTTCCTGTGTCTTCTGTCATTCTCTGTCTGTCATGTGAACCTCTGTCTAGCTGAATGATAACTTGTGGATCTGTCTTACCTGACTCTTTCTGGCTCTGTGTTTGCCCCACAAAAGACTATGCTTTGTATTTATTGGCATGAAGGCTTCACATGGATGAAGTAATGAGGGATAGTTTACAAAAATCTTTAAAAGGGTTTTACAAGAGAGTAAATCTCTGACCCCAATTGCACCCAGCTAACCCACATAACAAACATCACTGCACACAGATTTATCAGCCTATATCCATGTCATTTCCATAATTTTTGGTGGCTGTTTGTTTCATAAGGTAGTTTTCTAATTACTTGCTGTTTTAAGCATTTAATACCATGACATACACCCACCCCTGTGCTACTCCTGGGTCAGGGCCATGGAAGACTGCAAGTGTTAACATTCAATCTATGCATTACCTTAGGTTTCAAAAGCTGATTACACGGTGAGTCCAGTCCAAGACAAGTAAGGTTGATTGTTACATGACTGTATTAAAAGCAGGTTGAACAAAGTGGCTGAGTGCACAGTTGGAAGGCAGTCTTACATCTTAAATGAACTCATGGTTCATTAATTCTGGCTGGGTGGTCCAGGAACTTCCAGTCTCTTAAAATGTAAGAGATACTTTCATAAAGATTCATCCCCACATAAAAGCACACTTTCAACTTCACACTTTGTCCTTGGTCCCTGCTCCCTAGAAGGCAAAGCCTGTCTGGTTCTCCTACCTAGGCATCAGCTTATGACATCACAGGAGGAAAGAGTCATTTTAAAATTCTACCTTGTGCCTCTAAGAAATCCACTGCTCACCTAAAGGTTTTTCTTGCTGGTTGATGGACAAAAAGTGTTTTTCAAAGGTGATGTCCTCATCCTCAGCATAACTATCATTGTGTCCTCCTGTGCCATGGTACTGTCATCCCTTGTGGGGAAGAGCTTGGAGTACACTCTGTCATAATCTTTTGGATTGCAGCCAACTTTATAGTCATATGAGGTTTGTAGGTTTCACATGGCAACTGAGCCCATATCTAGCACTCATCATCACAGATGCATCCTACATTGACAGGTGAGTGTGTTTCCTTCAGGTATCCTGTCTTCAGAGGACAGGGCAATCTCTGGAAGGTGGGTGAGTGCAGAGCTCTGAACTGATCCTCCTCTTTCAGGGAACACCTTCTGCACAGTTCAAAGACTCATATGAAGGATCAGACTGAGTCCTGAACTCAACATCATTTGATGGAGGCTACAGGTGAGAGACACTAACCTGGATTCCTATTGTTTGGTGTTCTTATCCAGGACAGTGAGAGTGTGTCAGCTCTCAGGAAGGTGAAATCCTGGTAACTTATACAGTTTGTGACTGTTTCTCAGAATTCACCTGCAATTATTTATGAACCTTATCACTGTGTTGGTAAAACCTTTCCCAGTATTTAGTTAGTTACAGGAGCAATTTGAGAGCTGTTTGATGGCCTCTGCATATTTACACCTAACATTCTCCTTTCCACTAGGGCTTCACCTGGATGAGGATTTTCTCTTTATTAGAAATGATTGAGTAAAGTACCATACTGAGAACATAATATCCTTCTTAGGGGGCTTCCAATTCAGGGTTGCAAAAAGAGAAGTAAGTGCTAAACTGATGTTTCACTATCCAAATTTCAAGTCCATGGGCATTTGACTAACTGAGGAAATGCACCTTCATGTCACTCAGGTCTGAAACCCCTCAACTTTCAACTTCCCCAAGACACATTCTTCCATGTCCCCCAAACTTAGTTTTTACTCATTTGGTTTTGAAACAGGCTTTCTTTACATACTCCTGGCTGTTTTGCAGGTTGTTACTTAGAGCAGGCTAGCCTGAAACTCACTGGATTCTCCTGCTTCTACCTAATAATTAAAGGCATGTGTCAAGATTATCAGCCCAGATATTGCTTTTGAATTAAACAGATATGGCGGTTAATATTGTGCTATGTGTTAGGTGTCCATTGCATCATTTGGTGACAGTATACTAGTAACAGTCAATTTCTGTTACATTTAGTTTTATAATTTTATTTTTTTATATAGTGGTATACTGTTAATGTTCAGTATTTCCATTTAGTCTATACTGTGCTTTTTCTAGAATCTCCCCATCAATCCTCCTATGGAATAAATGTATTATAATTCTGCCCCAAACACTTCACAACTAAGTGCTAGTCACATTTTTGTAGACATGATTATATTTGATGTGTTTTTAAAAATAATACACGGCAATTTAAAGCTTAGGAAGCAATTTTGAAAATATTTAAAAGCAAACATATCACATATATGTACACAGACATATGTAAATGCAATTACATGTGGGTGTGCTGACAAAGGAGAATTTAAATGTTTTCTCTCCTGATATCTGATGGTCATTCTCTTCATTTGGGTTTTATTGCTGTGAAGAGACAAACCTTATCCACAGAAACTCATACAAAGGAAAACATTTCATTGAGGCTTGCCATAGTTCTAGAGTTTTATTCCATTATTGCTGTGGCTTGAAGCATGCCAGCATGCAGCATGAAGGCAGACATACTGCTGAAGAAGGAGATGAGATTTCTACATCTTGATCTGCAGGCAGCAAAAGGATACTGTGCCACACAAGCCATACTTGAGCTTACAATACTTAAATCCTACCCCCATAGTGACACACTTCCTTCATTAAGGTCTCATCTATTCAAACAAGGCTAGCCCTCTTAAAAATGTTATTCCTTATGGGCCAAGCATTCAAATACATGAGTCTATGGGGGACATACCCATTCAAACCACCACAGTCCCTATTTTCTTTTCTTTTATTACCCCCTATTTTTATTCTCAAATTTGATTGTTTTTATTTTTCTCTATTATCTATTTCCTTTTTATATAAGTATTATGAATTTGCATCATATATTTTTATCGTTTAAACCTCCCCAACTCCACTGAGATTTACCATCATTCTATACTCACCCACATTTATGTCCTTTTAATTATTTTAACTCACAACCTCAGAGTATGGTGCCCATATGATCTTGGGTGTGTGACCATCTACTATGTCATTGTCAACCATTTGAGGCCATATTTTAAAGGAAGCTGATTCAAAGTATCCTAGTAGTTATCAGTTGTCAATAGCATCTTAGTTAGGCATTACTATTTCCTCTGGTTCCAGACAGTTTCCTTTCTGACAAGTCTCTGCCTTTTAGCAGTTGCTGGTTCCTTGGAAACCTGAGTATGTCGCACCCAGGATACTCATGTGAATGTAGCTTTATCATTGGACGCTATCAACAGTGGATTTTTGGATTTTTAAACTGCAATTAACTGTAAAGCATTTGGAAAGTATTAATCCCTATTAATGACAATATAAATTTTAACTTTTACCACAATGTCCCAGTTAATTCTCTCCAATTGAAACAATTTATGTTCATTGAGATCTAGGAAACTTCTTCCTAGAGAGACACACTTTAACATTACAATGAAAATGAATTGATAGTGTCTATGCAGTACATTGTTTGACTTGCTAAGAAGAAAATAGTCCAAATTGTTTCATAAGTGGCTTCTGGACTTGATGTATATTGACCCAAAACCATGACAGAATGACCTCCAGAGACATGGCTGTGGTGACCTTCTTTCTCTTCCAGACTGTACTGGGAATGCTGGGGAACTCAGCCTTGCTTTGTGGTTTTATCATTGCTTACTTCTCTGGAATCAGGGTGAAGAAGCCCACAGACCTGATTGTCAAACAGCCTACCTCAGCTAACTTTGTAGTTCTCTTCAGAGGAGTCCAACAGACAGTGGCTGCTTTTAGTCAGAGTTACTATCTAGATTCTGTTTCATGTAAACTCACCTTATACTTTCATAGAGTGGCTAGAGGAGTATCCCTTGGCTCCACATCCCTTCTGAGTGTCTTTCAGGCCATCACCATCAGTCCCAGTGATTCCAAGTTGGCACAGATCAAGATCAGAGCCCCCGGGATCATTGGTCCTTCCCTGGGCCTGTGCTGGGCCTCCCAGCTGTTGTTACATGGCTTCATTCCTGTATATGTAACTGACATAAGTGGTGAAAACAATGTTACTGGAATAAAAAATCTTGAATACTGTGTTTTTATGAATCCTGGGAGACTAATCAGCACACTAACTGTAATCCTGTATACATGCAATGATTTCATGTTTTTGGGAATGATGATGTGGGCCAGTGGCTACATGGTATTTATCCTGCTCAATCACAAGCAAAAGGTCAAAGGATCATTGCCTGAGACCAGAGCCACCCAAAGCATTCTCACCCTAGTGAGCAGCTTTGTGGTCTTCTATATAATTTCTATTGTCTTTACATTATGCCTGTCTCTCCTAGATATAACCACCAGGTTGCTGTACAGCACTGCTGTGGCTATGTCAGCATGCTTCCCAGCATTCAGCCCCTTTCTGCTCATTAGACACTACACCCCCCTTTTCAGACTCTGCTGTACCTCTTCTTACTAGACAACACTCTGTGTTTTTGTGTTCTGAGAGTTCTAAAAGCCCTGGTGTCTGCATCCCTCTTTCCATTTCTTCTATGAAGTTCTCTTTTGTGTACACACTATCAACATGAACCTTCACTGTAGCTGCTGATTATCTACAAATGTTCTTCCAAATACTGATTGTAATTTAGCCTGGGACACAGGCAATCAATGCTGCATTTTGTGAGTGCTGAAACAGTCACCACTTATTATTTCCATGGAGAATATCACAGTGGGTGTGATAAATAAGCTCTGGGGATATGTGAATTACAGTGATGTAGGTGAGCTTCTGTGAGAATGGGATGCCAAACAGTATTCCACTTTCCATCCAAAAGTTAACCAGTGCAGATCTGCATCTAGATCTGCCTCCTAAATTACAAGTCAGTGTTGGTAGATGTGAGTAGAAAAGACCAAGTTTAAAAAGATGAACATTTTCAGAACAGTTCTGGGATAGTAATGGACACATGCAAGTTTTGGGCACTGAAGGGAATGTTGACTCTCTATAAGTTGTATTTCTTAAATCTAACATATATTCACATGACTGCAGATATTATTCATGGGACACACACATATTTTTAAAAGTTAGAGTTATATAAATTTTCAAGTGACAGTGTTTAGAATTGAACAATAGAAACTGAATACAAAATAATAAGCCCCAGCAATATTTGGTTAGGTAAGCATAAAATTGACAGTTTAAGTTAGGTTTAAGGACAAATTGGAGATTACAAGTAGATTAGCGGGTAGCATATACTTTGTTATCCCTATTCTTGGAAAAGAGAAGTTGAAAGATTATGTATTTGAGTCCAGCTTAGGTGATATAGTGAAACTCTGAAACCAAAAAACTAACAAAACAAATACAAACCAAAGTTGGAATTTTGTGGAGTCTGATCTGAGGAAAATCAGGATACATAATTTAAAGAAAACATTTAAACCAATTATGGTGCTATAAAGTGTCTCTGGGTGAGTAACATCACTAGTTTTATGTTAAGATTTTTGTTGTGATTGACCATTAACTTCCAAAATTAACTGAAGTAAAACATTAACCTGGTCTGAAGACAAGAGAATTCTGTTTGCACTTCCCTAGGGCACAGAATGCAGCATGGTTGTTTCCAAGGCTCCTAGACTACCAGCACACTCCACAGAAATTGTACTTTCAAGCTCAGTCAAATATTTCAGTTTTTTATCACCCCTTTCTCTCTTCCCATTTATTTTAAAGTATATAATATTAAGTGTAAGAGATTAAATCATCATGCGCAATCCCTTTTTTAATGTAAATTTATATTTCACTTTATCTATATCTTTGTTTCATATGGGAAATGATCCACAGTTACCATGCTTCCAGTTTTGAAAAGTGAATTTATTAAGCACAAACCCAAGAGCACTGAAAGAACAACTCCATAAGTAGCTGGAAAGCTGTAACATTCAAGATAAGACAGGTGCTCACAGCATCCAGGGTACCCTGACACAGATGGCCCATGAAACATAAGAATCAGTGGGAGGAGGGGAATGGTGGGGCAGGAGAACATGGAGGAGTGTTAGGGAGGAGAAGCTACCCTCAGGATGTAATATATGAGAGAAGAATTCAAAAAATGTTTTTGGTAAATAAGTCAGACATACACATTGGAAAAAGAAATGCATTAATGAATACTGCTGATCTGGATATCAAGATGTACAATTATCCAGCCTGATCCATATTTGTCACCTTGTGCAAAACTCAAGCCCAAATGGATCAAAGACCTCAACATAAAATGAAACACTGCACTTGACAGAACAGAAAGTAGGGAAAACCGTTAAATGCATCAGCACTAGAGACAAGATCCTAAACAGAACACTGATATTACAGATACTAGGATTGACAATTAACAAATGGAATGTCATAAATTCAAAAAGTATCTATACAGCAAAGGACAACTTCAATAGGACAAATGTCATCCTACAGATGGAAAACAGTTTTCATCAATAGAGGACTGATATCCAAAATATGAATAGAACTCAAGAAACCAGACTTCAACTGCCCAGTCCTGCCCCACCAGAAACTTAGGTCACCTCTGAAGAGGTGACCTGGAGCAGAGGAAAGGTAAGTGCACTGCTCACCCGTTTCCCAGCCTTCCTCTTACCTGGAGACAATCAGATGCAGTGGGGAGTCAAGTCAAGCAAGAACTCGTTTATTGATAGGCAGTAAGCTTCTTTTATACCAGAAAACCTCAGAACCCTTGGAGGGGTAGAAGGAACCAACCAATCATTTTAAAGATTACCCTATACTCATTTTCTTATTTACGAGTTGTTTATGCACTGACATCATCTCCTGATCTTTATATCTTGTCTCAGCTTAAGCAACTTGAGTTAACTTCCTCTGGGCATCATTTGTATCTAATCTCTGCTAAATAACTTGAGCTAACTTCCTCTCAACCCCATTTGTATCTAATTTCTGTGTGAACAATTTAGTAGGCTAACTTCCTCTCATCACTGTGTTTGTAGCTCATGTATGCCCTAAAGATTCCCCCTTTTTGTTTTTTAACTAAGTCCACCTTATTTTCACGCTCAGGCTTAGGGCACCTCTTTATGAAGTTTACCCATTTGTCAACCCCCCTCCTCTTTTTTTCATGTCAAACCTAATATTTGTTGAGAACACAGGAAATCAGTTGGCAGATCAGCCCTACTTCAATTCAGCAAAGTGAGGCCTGGCTCAGTGAAGTGTGACCAGCCCTGAAGTCATACTACTCCCAGTGCGAAACCAGCTCTGGGAGAAGGGCTGTTGACCTTCTAGGCCTAACTGAGGTCTCTGATGGAAGAATCTCTAAAAGCCAGTGCTTCAGCCTGGATTTTAAGGGGTCCGCAGGTGTTTATAGGGGGCAAAGAACTGAGCTCAGGCAACAAGTCAGGGTGGGTGTCCAGACAAGCCAGGTGACTCTGCTCCAGGCCAATGGCCTCAGGTGAGTGCTTGTAATTTTCAGAGCCACACTGGCAGGTGAAATACTTGCTCTTGATATCCTAGAATCGGTCACCATAGTCAAACCCCAGCTCTTCCCCAGTCTGGATGTCCCTGGAATTGAAGAAGGTAATGCATGGAGACTGTAGGTCTTGGTGCATCATGAAGCCCTGGACAGAAATGAAGTTGGGGTCACACAGGTGGTTGATGAAGTAGCTGATGTTGCTATAATCCTCAGGGCATGGCTTGCCATCCACACCATTGACTCAGGGAATGGACACATTCTTGTATCCTCTTGCAATGTCCTGGCAGATGACCTTTTCAGTATGGACAGCCTGGTTCCCTACCCTGAGCCTAAGCCTATGGTTGAGCTGCAGTGTAAACCATACATCAGGACACCCTGGGGTCAGGTCCCATGCTGTGTCTCCTTTCTTGTTTTGAAGCTCAGGGTTGGCTCTACGAGACATGAACAACAGACCATAGTCATGGTGGCTATCCATGGCAGTGATGTGTAGGGATTTGTCCCCATGGTAGTTGACAGCATGGAGGTCGCACTGGGCATTCAGGAGGACCTCAGCAATGGCAGCACTGCCAGTAAAGGAGGTACAGTGCTGGCAGACGTTTTCCTCATTGTCAGTTAGGGTGACATCAGTACCCTGGGTCAGCAGCATCCAGATCATGTCAATATATTTGCGCTCGGCTGCCCAGATGATGGGCATTCATCCCCTACTGTCCTGCGCATTCACATGTCTTGTGTTCAGCAGTAGGCTAACAATCTCCAAGTTTCCAATTTTGGCTGAATGATAGAGATAGGTGGAGCCATCCTCTTCCTTGCTATAGACACAGCTACCTAGCTGCACCATGTAATGCACCACCTCCAGGTGGTTGTTCACCATGGCCTCCATCAGTGGTGAATGTTGTTGCTGATTTATGGCATTGATGTTGGCTCTTGCCTGCAGCAGCGCATGACAGATCTCCATGGAGCCCTTTTGCATAGCTGCATGCAGGGGTGTGTACTTGCTCTGTTGATCACTCTGGAAGTTGGGGTCCAGGTTGTCTAGCAGCACAAGGATCACCTTCTGTAGCTCTCCCTGCTTCACTGACAGGTACAGCTGCTGTGGGTGGAAATGGAGCTTCTTCTGCCTCTCTGACTCCTGAATGACCAAAGCCTTCTTCAGGGCTTCATGGCCTGGCCATGGGGTCAGACTCACAGCTGAGAGGCAGCCCCCATTAGACAGGGTTAGTGTAGGCCCTCAGCTGTCGATGGTATCTGTCAGGAGATCACAGGGCAGTTGCCAGGGGCTCTCCATGCCCTCACATTTGTGCACTGGGCTAAGAGGTATCTGCTCGCCCTGGGGTCCCTCTGAGCTGCAGGGTGCTGAGGGAAGTGTGAGTCTCCAAGGAAAAGAAATCAAGGGAACCATTAAGCCTAGCAGCTAAAATCCTCCTGTCCAGGAAGACAAGGGCTGTGATGCCTGAGGAGACCGCCTTGTTGCTGCAGCAGAGCACCCCTTCAATGGCATTCCACACCTCCAGCAGGCCACTGCTTCATCCAACTATGATGAGGTGGTCTTGCAGCTCCAAGCTCCAGATAGAGCTGGCTGTGCTGGGAGACCCAGTAAGAGGAGGGGAGCTCTTCATGGGTGCAGCCCCCTCTTCTTGAGAAGCCTGGGCCATTGGAGATCCTGAGAGGGTGGGCGCATGGGTGGCACATGGCAGCCTGGCCCTCCTCCTTGTATATACATTGCACTAGCCAACTGAAATTATAGCTAGAGTCCCTAGAGCTGCCACAGCCTGCCTGGTGCCAAGGTTTGGGTTGAGTAGGCTTTGGGGTTAGCTGCACTGAGAAGTTGGTGTTGATCAGGTGAGGTCTGACTTGTGCCTGAAGAGGGAAAGTGGTGGAGGCCCTCAGGGGCAGTGTCACAGCAGAGGGCTGTCCCTAGGCTCCTCAGGGCTAGTTTTGCCACCATCTGACAGCTTTTCCCAGGTCTCCTGGGCTTCAAAAGCTCTGCCTCTGCAGCTGTCCTGGCATGGCCCTGGGTGCAGGATGTACGTAAGGCAGTCCACAGTCTGTGCGTCCCACATGCAGACTTGGCCTGCCAGGCAGCAGCATCCCATCACTAGCCAGACATTCCATGTCCAAAAGGTACCCTCATAGCACCAGTGGTGTAATCTCCCTCTCAGGCAATGCATAGTTGTAGTAATCACAGGGCATCTCTCCCCATCTTCACATGCTGTGACCACCACTGGGTTGCTCATAGTTCCATGGGCAGAGCACCCGGTAGAGGCAGAGCAAGAGCAGCATGAGGACAATGCCTGCTGCCAGGCCAAGCACTGCTGCCATGGGCTTGTGTTCCACCTGGCCCCTTAGGTCTGGCCTTTCACCAGTACCATTTTTGTGGTCTATTAGAGCCAGGGGACATATTAACAAGAAATGCCTGGGGTTTCTGTTCTCAAGGCCCTTGCCTTGTCTCCCTTGGGGGCCCAATCTGGGTAATATAGGCCTCTGCATAAGTTGGTTCATTGGCTCCGTGATCCCCAGCTAATGGCCCGTCATAGGTATCCCAGTCATGTACGTCCCTTCTGAGGGTAGTGTATGGAGAGGAGCATTTCCCTGTTTCAGGGATGTAAGAGGGGGCTGCTCCTTCAGGGCGCATGACTCACAAGGTGCAGAGGGCATGACTTTTACTTTTGTGTAACACTTGGTCTCTTCACCCTCATGGTCCTCTTTGTCTTCTTTGGCCTCCCATAGCTCTTGGGGATCTTTTGGAAAATTTGCATTACCCACACTGACGGCTTCACTTACACTGGATGACCACTTGGCCTTGGGCAAATGTACTTTCAAGCTCCATGTTGACATGCCATTTGTGGGGTCCTGCCCCACCAGGAATTTAGGTCACCTCTGAAGAGGTGACCTGACCTGGAGCAGAGGAAAGGTAAGTGCACTGATCACCCGTTTCCCAGCCTTTCTCTTACCTGGGGACAATCAGACGCAGCAGGGAGTCAAGTCAAGCAAGAACTCGTTTATTGTTAGGCAGTAAGCCTCTTTTATAGCAAAAACCTCAGAACCCTAGGAACGGCTGAAGGAACCAAGCAATCCTTTTCAATGTTACACTATACTCATTTTCTTGTTTATGAGTTGTTGTTTATACACTGACATCATCTCCTGATCTTTGTATCTTATCTCAGTTTAAGCAAGTTGAGCTAACTTCCTCTGGGTACCATTTGCATCTAATATCTGTTAAACAACTTGAGCTAACTTCCTTTCAGCCCCATTTGTGTCTAATCTCTGTGTAAAAAACTTAGTAGGCTAACTTCCTCTCAGCACCATCTTTGTAGATCATGTATGCCCCACAATCAACAAACACAATAATACAATTTAAAAATAGTGTACAGATGTAACAGAAAATTCAACATAGAGGAATGTCAGCGTAAAACATCTCTTAAACAAATATTCATCATTCTTAGCCATCAGGGAAACACAAATCAAAACTGTTTTGAGATTCCATCTTACACCTATCAGAATTGCTAAGAACAATAACAAATTGAAAGTTTATGCTGGGATGGATGTGGATTGAGGGGGACACTCTTCCAATGTTTGTGGAAGTGTGAAAACTTGTATATCCACTATAGAAATCAATATGGCAGTTCCTCAGAATATTGGGAAACAATTTGCCTCAAGATACTACCACTCTTGGAAATAACCTAAATGACTCCCCATTCTAGCAAAGTACATTTGCTCTGCTAGGTTCAGAATAGCTTTATTCATAATACCCAGAAACAGGAAAAAACCTGATGTCCCTAAAAAAAGAATGAATAAAGAAACTGTGGTATATTTTCACAATGGAATATTACTCAGCTGTTAGACAAAATGACATCATGAAATTTGTAGACAGATGGAAGGAACTAGAAAAAAAATCATCCTGAAAAAGGCAACCCAGACAAAAGAAGACAAACATGATATGTATTCATTTATAAGTAGATGTTAGCTGTTAAGTAATGGATAATCACATTACAATAAACAGACCCAGATAAGTTAGAAAAAGAAAAGAGTTCTAGGAGGGATGCATGGACCATCATAGGAAGGGGAAATAGAATAGATTTTGTGGGTGGACTGTGTCTTGGAACAGAAGAGATCAGATAGGGAAGGAGGGAGATAGTATGGAGACAGATGACAAAAACAAATGAGTGTTAGGTGCAATACTACATTTGCAGTGTTTCACCCAAACCTAGAATTGGAAATGTATTTCAAATACATTAGTTACTTAGTGAGAAAAGGTTTTTTAAATGTTTTATTAATTCCTGAGTATTTCATGCATAACAATTTGATGATTTTTACCTCCCACTTCTCGAACTTTTCAAAGATCCACTGCTACTCCCTTATTCCCAACTGTGAGTCCTCTTTAAAAAATATACACCTAGGTGTGGGCAGTCCAAAAGTGTGTTGTCAACTTACCAGGTCCCACAACATTGAAGAAAACTGACTCTCCACCAGAAGTTGTCAAATAAGCAATCATAGGTCCTCAGATAGACATGGAGGTGAGAAATTGCATGTTAAGAGCATGACTTGGGTGACAGGGATGATAATTACTCAAGACAGGGTTGTTATACTTAGATATTTTTATTGAAACATGAAATAGTATGCACGCCAGTGTCAGAACTTCTTGAGTACTATAAAAGAAATACAAATATGTGCTTCCATCTCTCTACACCATTTGATCTTTGTTTCCTTATGTTCCTGAGTTTATAGTTCTGCATATATTTATCATAACTGTGCACTCACAAATACATATTTGCAGCTTGATGTGTTTGGGTCATCTTTTCTTTTCTTTTTCTTTTTAGTTTTTTTGAGACAGGGTTTCTCTGTGTAGTTTTTGTGCCTGTCCTGGATATCACTCTGTAGACCAGGCTGCCCTCAAACTCACAGAGATCCACCTGGCTCTGCATCCTGAGTGCTGGGATTAAAGGCATGCACCACTGCCGCCTGGCTGGGTCATCTTTTCATACTGATTTATATTTTTACTTCCTCATAATCATAAGAAAATCATAGTAAACTATGGTTCTTGTTTTCTGTTATCTTTTTTTTAATTATGGTTTATCTTCAGGGTGACTTTGTTGTTTGGGAGAGATGCATATTTTCACTTAATTTTGTAGCTCTGGGGACTTACATTGTCAAAGATAATCCTATAGATATCACTTAAATTGATTGTCAGATCTTATTTAAACCACAAATATTTATGTTGGAGACCGACTCTGGACAGCTGTGTCTTGAACCTTGTGTTACCTGCCACGATTTATCAAGCCTCGTGTAAATAGGAGGCTTTTAGTCAAACCTAGGAATGTAGGATTAAATAAACCTCTTTAAATCAGCTAGCTGCAGGGGCCTGGGACCAAAGAGACCTCCTGCTGACCCTCCTTAGGAATTTTCTTTGTCCTCTCCTC